TCTGGTATCAATTATAATGTATCCGCTTTCATTTCTGACTTTATTTGCATCTTGTCTTAGTTTTCTTTAGCTGATTTAGCTAAGGGTTTATCGATTTTGCTTATCTTTTCAAATATCCAACTCTAAGTTTCATTGATCTTTTCTATTGTTTCTCTAATCTCTATTTTATTTATTCCTGTTCTAATATTTATTATTTCCTTCCTTTTACTAACTTTGAGATCAGTTTGTTCTTTTTTTTCTAGTTCCTTGAGGTGTAACATTAGGTTGTTTATTTGGGATATTTCTTCTTTTTGGTGTAGGCATTAATTCCTATAAACTTCCTGTTTAGAACTGCTTTTACTGCATCCCATAAATGTTGGTATGTTGTGCATCCATTTTTGTCTGTTTTAAGATATTTTAATTTAATTTAATTTCTTTTTAAAATTTCAAAATATTAAGGGGGTACAAATGTTTCTGTTACATGGATACCTTGTATAATGCTTAAGTCAGGGCTTTTGGTGTGCCCATCACCAGAATAGTGTTCATTGTACCTTAGAGGTAAGTTTTTACCCCTCACCCCCTCCCACTCTCTTCCTTTCTTGGTTTGTAATGTCCTTTATATTTCCTTGTGTCCATGTGTGCCCATCTTTTAGCTCCCAATTATTAGAGAATACATGTGGTGTTTGTTTTTCCATTCTTGACATACATAGGATAATGGTCTCCAGTTCCATCCATGTTACTGCAAAAGACATTATTTCATTCCTTTTTATAGCTTAGTAGTACTCCAAGGTGTGTGTATATCACATTTTCTTTATTCACTCTATTCACTCATGAATTGATGGGCACTTAGATTGAGTCTACATCTTTGCAATTGTGAGTTGTCAATTGTGCTGCAATAAACATTCAAATGCGGGTGTCTTTTTGATAAAATGACTTCTTTTCCTTTGTGTAAATACCCAGTAGTGGGATTGTTGGATCAAATGGTAAGTCAAAATTTATTTCTTTGAGGAATTGCCATACTATTTTCCATAGAGTTTGTACTAATTTGCAGTCCCACCCATAGTGTATAAGCATTCTTTTCTCTCTGCATCCATACCAGCATCTATTGTTTTTTGACTTTTTAATAATGGTCATTCTGACAGGGTAAGGTGGTATCTCACTGTGGCTTTAATTTACATTTCCCTGATGATTAATGATGTTGAACATTTTAAAATATATTTCTTGGCCATTTGTCTCTTTTGACACACTTCTATTCATGTCTTTTGTCCACTTTTTAATATAATTTTTTTTCTTGCTGATTTGTTTGCATTATTTGTGTATTCTGGATATTAGTCCATTATTGGATATATGGTTCACTAATATTTTCTCCCATTCTGTAGATGGTCTATTAACTCTGTTGATTATTTTCTTTGCTGTGCAGAAGCTTTTAAATTTAATGAAGTCCCATTTATTTATTTTGGTTGTTGCTATATTTGCCTTTGGGGTCTTAGTCATAAATTCTATACCTTGTCCAATGCCTGGAAGAGTTTTTCCTATTTTTTCTTCTAGAATTTTATGGTTTCATGCCTCACATTTAAGTCTTTTGTCCATCTTGAATTACTTTTGTATATGGCGAGAGAGAGGAGTTCTGTTTCATTCTTCTGCATGTGGATATCTAGTTTTCCCAGCACCATTTACTGAACAGGGCTTACTTTCCCCAGTGTATGTTTTAGTCTGCTTTGCTGGAGATCAATTGGTCATAGCTACATGGTTTTATTTCTGTGTTCTCTATTCTGTTCCATTGGTCTATGTCTCTACTTTTATACTGGTACCACGCTGTTTTGGTTACTATAGACTTGTATTGTTTTAAGATGGTTTTTTTTTTCATATTTGGTGTTATTTATTGATTCCCCCTCCAAAAGGGCCTAAGCTTGACAAAACTGTTACAGTTATCAGAAACCAGTTCCAGAGTTCACCTCAGCTTAACTCATGTCTGCATAACTACAGTGAGTTATACTGGATGGAAGGAAGCCCAGAGCTGCCTGCGCAGTTTGGCTTGTAACAATGGCAAGGGGTACTTCACAGAGACAGCCATTATGTGGGAGGGAAGACAAATTTGGACACAGACACAGGAGATTGCTTGTGAGGCCATGAGCTCAGGATTGGCATAAAAGAGACTGGCCAGCCTTGGGCAGCCACATTCATTGGAACCTCTACAATCCATCACATGCCTTGGCTGGGAGCACCGTGCCCCGGACATGGCTATGAACCACACTGGGGATGGCTTGTCCAGAGACAGCACCTTGGGCTCTGGGCTCCTGGCGCTTGGTGGGAGGGCCCAGCCTGGGAAGGACTATGCACAGACACCATTTGTTCCAGCCGAGATAGACCTGACTGCTGCTGCTCTGCCAGCTACACAGGCTCCTGGGGCCTGAACTGCAAGAGCCCTGTCTGCTGTGTGTGACACTGGCTATTCCCCAGGGCTCCTGCCTCTTCTCTGCCTTTGACACACAGGTGAGGAGGAGGTAACTGTCTCTCTGCGTCTTCTCACATCAGTGTTTGCCACTCCTTGAGTGTGACCATGAAATTAGATTCATAGGTCACAATTAGCCTTGTGTTATGAAATAGAATAAAATAGAAAACATTAAGATGTATAGCATGTAAAAAGGAAAGTATTCTCTCATAAAAAATTTTAGTTATATGTGTGTGTGAACCAGATCAGACTAGAAAACATATCTCTGTGGGTTCACTGTGAAGAAAACACTAGGCAAGCCATGGTGTCCAGGATATTTCCTCAGTTTCTCCAACAATAAATGACTTGCATTCTTTATGGAAGCAAGCATCACAGGCTTACTACACATTCTGTGACATTTCTCAGTGACCTAGAGAGATTTTTAAACCTCCTGAAGCCTGGGGAAGCAGGTGAGAACCTCAGGAATGCCCTGTCAATATCTTATCAAATTGAGTTTGAATGACATGTCCAGGTTTCAACTCACAAGTGAAGGAGGCCTTGATCCTAATGCCATCCTGGAACATATACCAAGAGGAAGCAGTGGGTGCATTTTCAGGGATAGGTGAGTATCTCCAAGCCCAGTCCCTGAAAGCATGTACCTGTCAGGAGACCTGCCCAGGAGGCTTAAGGAGCAGCACACGGTAGCTCCTTAGTGGGGTCCACTGCTGCACTCTAGGTGTGACCGTTTGCCAGAGGTCAGCACCCCAGTGTTCTCTCCTGGCTCAGAAAGGTCCTCTTGTAGCTCTGCCCATTGGATCCTCCTCGGTGCCATTTGCAGATATTGCTGTTCAGAATGTCCTGGATGTGCTGCATGATCAGGTTAATGGCAACCATATAGTCAACCCCACAAGGGATGATCACATTGGCATATTTCTTTGTCGCAGGCAGAACGCCTCAAAGGCTGGTTTGATGAAGGTGGTATACTTGGTGAGAATCTGCTCCAGGTCCTCAGTGCATGTCCAAGAGAACTCTTTGAGAGAGCCTGACTTTGGAGTTTGTGTTCATGAAGAGGTGCATGTGGAACATGTCCCAGATCTCCTGGCTATAGAACACCAAGATGCCCTCAAACAGAACCACATCTGCAGGGTAGGCCACTGTGGTCTCTGGTAACCTTGAGTGGGTCACAAAATCATAGGTTGGGACTTTGAGAGTTTTGCCCTCCAAGATGTTCTTCAGAGTCTTGTGCATCAAATCATTATCAAAAGTATCTGGATGGTCAAAATTGTACTGTCCCTTCAAGGATTTAGCCTTCTGTTCTGCTGTCAGGACCTTATAGAACCTGTCTTGGCTTAGGATGACCAACTTGTGCTGCCAGTGGTCTACTTCGTTCTGTCCCAGCAACTCCATGATTTTCTTACACACAGTCAACTTCCCGCTGCTCACCTGGACCAGGAAGGGACCACTGGTCGGGACAGTCAGCCTCCAGCGTAGTGCCCTAGCAGTCGCCGTCTCTAGCCAAAGCCATCATGCCACCCACTCCTTCCCCAGAACAGCCTTGTTTTAAGATATTTTAAATTCCCCCTTTAATTTCTTTTTGGATCCATTGGTTGTTCAGGAGCATGTTGTTTAATTGCCATATATTTGTGAATTTTTTGGAATTTCTTCTGTTATTAATTTCTAATTTCATACCATTGTGGTTGGAAAAGATACTTGATAGGATTTCAGTCTTCTTAAATTTGTTAACACTTGTTTCGTGGCCTAACTTATGACCTATCCCCAAGAATGTTCCATGAGCACTTAAGAAGAATGTGTATTCTTCTGCTGTTGGATGAAATGTTCTGTATATATTTGTTAAGTCCATTTGGTCTAAATTCAATGTATCTCTACTGATTTTCTCTCTGGATGATCTGTGCATTGTTGAAAGTGGCATATTAACATCCCCTACTATTATTGCATTGCAGTCTATCTCTCCCTTTAGATGTATTAATATTTGCTTTATATATTTTGGTGCTTGGTACATATATATCTATAATTATTAGATCTTCTTGATGAATTGGCTCCTTTATCATTATATAATGATGTTTTTATCTTGTTTTACAGTTTTTGACTTAATGTCTATTTTATCTGACATAAGCGTAGTTACCCTTGCTCTCTTCTGAATGATCAAGTGAATAAATTAATGCCACAAATTTTTTCCTGCACTGGGAAGCAGTACACCATGGTACAAAAGGGCCTAAATACTTGCTTAGTGGACTGATAAAGGAGGAAGACAGCCCACAATATTTTTCAAATAAGTTGATATTTTTAAAAAGCATCAATGTAGTCATTGTGGGATCAATAAAAAACTTTCTGTAGACTTTTTTACATTTACTGTTTTTATTCCGAATTACATATGATGTAGGGGCACCCTATCTTTTAGTGTTTAGAGCATCTAAATGTTTTAATCTGGTCATACTTGAGAGGTAGAAGTGAATATGACTTAATCCCCTGCCCCCAGGGCAGCTCCTGGGGCAGAGAGACCCAGATACACAGTATAACAACACTCAATGTAATTAGTGTAGGGATAAGAAGGGTTGGTGTGGGAGCTCGGAGAAGCACATTCCTCCCAGGGAGAAAGGGAGAATCAAAGAGGAACAGGGATACAGGGTAGAGAATAGAGAAATCAAATGGAGAATAAGAGGGTGTGATTGATGAATAAGGGGTGGTGACCAGAAAAGAGGAGTTACATTGAGGAGAATGGAAAGTTGAAAGTAGGGAGCAGAGGAAGAGGCTGACAGGCAGGGATGGAAACCCCCCTCTGGAGGCGGAAACAGGCAGGACCACTTCCGGCCAGGGAGGTGGGGGGGATAAGCTCAGACCTAAGGAGAGGCTTGGAGAGAGCAGACGCCTTCTGGACTCAGGAGGACGAGGTGAGCTGAGGTGTTGGCTTTAGTGAAGATCCTGTGGGGGATTCCTGGAAGCAGCTTCTACGTGCCTGACTCCACACGCCCCTAAGGTTTGAAGAAAACCTGCTGGGGGTTCGGGACTTAACCGCATTGCAGTTGTTGTGTTTAGAGGTGCATGGACCTGGTTAGCATGGGAGAAAGGAGGAGGCAGAATCCCCTTTGGGCCGCAGAAAAGAGAGATCTGGACTTGGTTCGGGCCATGAAAAAGAGGATGCAGACCTGGTTGTGACCACAGAAGGGAAGGATCGAGAAACTATTCAGACAGTAGCAAGAGGGGAGGAGGACACAGTTCAGGAGGGAGATAGGAGAAAGGCAGGACTCCGTTCGGGCTGGAGAAAGGGGGCAGGACCCTTTTTGGGCCAAGGAAAGCAGGGATCGGGACCCAGAGAAAGGAGGGGGCAGAATCCCATTGAGCAGCTGAAAGGACCAGATTCAGGCAGGAGAAAGGAGGGGCTAGGACCCGGTTGGTTCTAGTTTGAAAAGGGAAAAAGACAGGACCTGGTAGGGTTCAAGAACAAGGGATACACAGGTTTATTCCGTTGGATTTGGGGGTAGGGTATCCATGTTGCAGAAAGGGCGGGGCCGGGCACTTGCAGACGTGGAAAGAGTGGGGAGTGGTGTTGGGGAAGGGGCGGTGCAGAGACGTACTGCAGAGCAGAGGGAGGGGGCGTATTGGGAAAGGGCGGTGCGAAGTGGTACTGCGGGGCGGAGGGAGGGGGCTGGTGTTGGGGGAAGGGTTCGATCAAGATGTGATGCAGTTAGAAACAGCGGGTCAGGGGTGGGGCCGAGATGTTCCGCTGCTCTGAGAGCCGGGGCGTATGTAGGAATGAACTGGTTAGAGACTGGCCGGCTCACCAAGGCGCATGCGCGATGACAGTCTTGAAGAACCGGTTCTTTTGGGAAAGTGGTGGGCCTGAGAGCCGGCCCCTGATCGGCGCGCATGTGCATAATCAAGTTGCGGTAGGGGGCGTGTAAAGGGGCGAGGTCGTAGAGCTGACTCTCTTGGAGGCAAAAAGAACTAGGGCTGGGAAAAGAGATGGCCAGGGTTTCTAGGTATAAGAATCCAGGAGTTCAAAGGTTTGGGGCCCAAGGTTAGATGAGACTCCCCCCTTTTGGGATAGGTTAGATGAAACATCTCATGACTCTCCACCTCTGTCTCATTCTCCCCTAACTCAGGCTCATTCCTTTTAGGCTCAGCTGTTACTTGGCCTTCCAGACAGATGGATAAGAGAAATGACTACAGTTATAGGATGCCTCCATTCCAGGTGAGGCCTTTCTGCATTCTTACCAGGCCATCTGCCCTGTCCTGAGTTCACTTACTGCTCTTGAGCCCTGTACCACCATGTAGCTGCATCATTCCTGCCTAACCTGTCTCAGTCCTCTCCTGCATGGTGAAGGGGGAGGAGAGGAAAACCTGCCTGACTATCCCTTGCTTGCTTCCCCTTCTCCCATTCCCCTTCAATCAACCACTGCTCAGAGGAAGGGGAGGTCTTCGTGGAAAGGGGTGGGCTATAGGGAGGTCACATGGCCCAGATGATCATAATCCTAAGTGTGTAGGGCCCTCTGCCTCCCCCTGGGAGCCTGGGGCTTCCCTTCCCTCCAGATGTACAGACTGAGACCACAGAAGAGGACAGTGTCTTGCTGATGCACACCCTGTTGGCGGCAACCAAGGACCCTCTGGCCATGGACTCATCAGTTGCCAACCAGCCTAAGAAAAGCAGGACCAAGAAGGCCCCTATAAAGACTATTACTAAGGCTGCACCTGCTGCCCCTCCAGTCCCAACAGCCAATGAAATTGCCACTAACAAGCCCAGAATAACTCTGCAGGTTTTAAACTTGCCAATCATCACCCAGATTAGCCAGGTTTCAGCTATCACTGGGGCAGCCAATATTCAGGCTTCTTCAATCACTGCTCAGCCTAAGAAAGCCAACAGGATGAAGAGAGTTACTGCCAAGGCAGCCCAAGGCTCTCAATCCCCAACTGGCAGTCAGGTTGTCACTACACAGCTGAAGTCACCTTTGCAGGTCCTAAACCTACCAGTCATCTCACAGACTATCCAGGCTCCAACTGCCAGTGAGTCAGCCAATTCCCAGGCTTTGATAGCCTCCACCAAGCCTAAGAAAGCTTCTAAGGCCAAGAAGGTTGCAAACAAAGCCATAGCTAATGCCACTGAGATGTCACCAGCTCCAATTGCCACCTATACAGCTACCACTCCAGGCCAAATTATCAGTGAGACAGTCAATATCCAGGCCACAGCAGCCTCCATCCGAACCAAGAAATCCTGTAAAGCCAAGAAGACAACTGCTAAGACCACAAATACTGACACTGAGCATATAGGGGCTCCAAATATCACCAGACAGATTGAAGCCTCAGCAGCAGCTATCCGGCCCAAAAAATCCAAGGGCAAGAAGGCTGCCAATAAGGGCCCAAATTTTGCCTCTGAAATCTTTAAGGCCCCACCTGCCACTCAAATGGTCACAAACCAAGCACTAGCAGCCAACCTTTGGGTCAAGAGAGGGTCTAGGGCTCAGAATACTGCCACTAAGGCTCAGGTAACTGAAAGCCTGACTCAAATTAGTGACCAAGGGGCAAAGGCCAAGATGGCCACAGCTCAGACCACCATAAGTGCCCTTGAGACACAGGTTGCTGCTGCTGTCCAGGCCCTGGCAGATGACTATCTGGCTCACTTAAGTCTGGAGCCCACGACCAGGACTCAGGGCAAGAGGAACCAAAAGGTGAGATCTCTGACATCACCATCCTTGACTTCGTGCTTCTTTTCCATTCCTATCCTTCTAGTTGTACATTTCTTCTATAAAAGTTAACTGAACCTTTTTTTTTTTTTTTTTTGAGACAGAGTCTCACTCTTTTGCCCAGGCTAGAGTGAGTGCC